AACTCATTAAGAAGCAAGTTTAGGCCCAGAATATCCTCCTTTACAATTTCCCACATTTATTTTTTTTATTTTTCCCTCCAGCAAACATGTTTGTTTCCTTTACTCAAAACCTCCCTAAATCAAAACCTTCCTAAGTCAAATTTGTTCCTGGTCCCAAGAAATTCGACTTAGAGAGGTTCAATGGTACATCATATCCAACGATTCAGGACTGTACAGTATCGATTTTAATATAGTACAGTATTATTTTTTTTTATCTTGCATGCCTCGTCCAACCTGAAATAGGGAAGAAAATCTTTTCTCGCTGCGGGAGGAATTTTCGGGCGAATTTTCGCGGACAGGAGAAAGACGGATCATCGCAGCAGCGTCAGACATGCCGACGCCGCCGCCGCCACTTGATGGCATTTCCAGTCGCGTCTATCGCCGCCAACAGCGACGACCCGCGTGGGTACGTGTCGGGGTAAGGGGGAATATGGGGCTTCTTCTTTCCGCTTCCGATTGTCACTAGGAACAATAAGGCCGACGTCCCCACAGGACGATCCCCCAAGCACCGACAAACAACGGTGTCGACGACTTTCTTCTCACCAGCAGTGTGAGGAGGAAATAATATGTCAATTTTTGTCGTGCTGTGAGAAAATCAGTAAAAAATTATAAGGAACAGGTTTTGAGAAAATTGAAGAAAAGTGTGGCATGGAGCAAAAAAAAATGTGATTAGTTCCAGCAGCTGATTTGTTATCTATAAGTCACAATTTTTCATTTGGGGTTTCAATATGGAGATTCTATCAATTGGTTCCAACATAAAATGAAATTGAGGTTAAGCAAAAAAAATAAAACAGAAAAAGACAAAGAATACGAAGTCCCAGCAGTATATGAAGAATACTGTATAAAAAACCAAACTTCAAAGGGAAATTCAAATTTTGAAATTTCAATTCTCTTTGTGTCTCTTATTTTGCTGCTGCCAATCATTTAAAACAGAAATGTGAAGGGCTTTTTGTCAATAGTGTCTTACATTGGTTCAGGAACAATAAAGAACCACTGTCATTTCCAAGTTTTAAATTTAATTGCTATTTAAAACATAAGCTGCTGCCAATCATTTAAAACAGAAATGTGAAGGGCTTTTTGTCAATAGTGTCTTACATTGGTTCAGGAACAATAAAGAACCACTGTCATTTCCAAGTTTTAAATTTAATTGCTATTTAAAACATAAATAACTGTGGTTCTTTCTCAATGGTGACTGACATTGATTCAGAAAAAAAAACCACTGTCTTTTCCATGTTTTAAATCAGTGGCAGCAGCAATACTAGAAAGACAACTGAGGACATTGAAAATTTTAAATTTCAGCTTTCCTTTGAATTTTGGTGTATATTCCAATTCTGGATTTCCTGTTGAGAGTATAGTGTCATACAATGCTTTATGTTGTTGGATATCTTTGAGAAAGTTTTGAAGAGACCAACAAAATTATTAGACTGACATAGGGAGAAGTTTTGACTTCTGATTTAGGGCTGCTTTTGAAAAACTAGGCTGGTATTGCTTGAGACAAAAAAAATCAAGTTAGGAAGGTTTTCTGCTTAAGGGAGGTACATAAAAAAAAGAGGTCCAAGATGCATTGAACAAGTACAATTAAAATATTTTAGATTTAAAAATTGTCTGGTTTTGCCTGTTTTGCAGTCGATTCCTCAAATCAGGTTTGTTATACAAGATGCTTGCTGAATATCGGGCATTCGGTTGCTCAAAGCCACACTGTTGCATCGAATTCCAACGAACACTCATCATGGAATTCCCTCCCGTTAGTTCTTGCATGAAAAATCATTATGTTTTACACAATGTGCTTCGTACGTCAAATTTGTGTTGCGCAAAACATGATTTTCCCAATGTTAAATTGAAAATTTTTAAATCTGTTCCAGACACTCGGGTAATGTCCGTGATAAACTTTAAAAACTGCGCGTTTTAGCAGCATGCCATTGTGAATTTAATATTGATTTAAAAGGGAGTTTAAACCAAACTTGACAATTTTGATCACTTGACTAAAATTCGCGAATGTTTAGAAATACAAAAGGCAAAGCGAAACGCACGACTTTCCAGTCACAGGGATTAAAATGAATGATGAACCCAACTACCCAGGATTAGTTACACAAGAACAGTTTCCGTTCCACCTTAAAGCTCATCCAAGGATATGCATCGCTGCACATAGATAGACATGGAAATGCTACACGTCAAACATTTCCTCTGTCGTGAAATCCGTCCAAGATTGATAGCGGCCCAATAAATCCATAAAAAAAAGCGGAGTAAAATGAGCAAGAATTGGAAGAAAAAAAAAAATCAAGCATAGGCAAAAGGCGGAATAATTTCACGCCTGTCGAACAAATCCCCGCGGATCCAACGGAAACTATTATTTCCACCCGGGTTCACAAGGAACACTCGAAAGGCTGCGATAGCCTTTGATGTATTCTGAAATGCAAGCACGCGTCAAATAACGCAAACAATTCCTTCACAGAACAAAAAGAATCATCAAGAAAGAAAATTGAGCTTCATTTCGAAATCAAACACAACTTCGGTCCGTTCTTCAAATTGCTGATGCACCAGTTCAGATTACAGGCCGGTCAGCATCATGTCAAGATACTTCATTTCACACGGAAAAAGGACCAAAGTTAAAAACAAAAATCACAGCAGTGTTTTTTTCCTCAAATCCGAGAAACTAAAGTACTCTGCAACATGAATTTACTCAGTGCACAGGAAGATTCTCGGAGCATAAGCATATACGCGATCAAACCCGTGGGTAAAGCTGACTACATGGATTGATCATTCATCACATTACATGCGACGCTTCTCGGGATCTTGAAATAAATAAGATAGAAAATCATTTCCTAATATCAAAACTCGGATACTTGGCAGACGGAATTGCTTCCTCGTTTCTGAAGACAGCATCGTCGATTCTTGAGCTCGGACTTCCCTCTTCCCGCAACCATCGCTTCCTGATGATGACATCACACATTGAATGAATGGAAAAGGATGAGAAAAAAAATAAAAGGATTCATCATCGCATTTTCTCGACATTATTCAGCATATACACCAACATTTGATCGACTTTCCCTCGCGGTCCTTCCATGACTCCTTCCACTGTACCGGTTCTCGTATTCCGGCACCATCCGGTCAACCCCAACTGCTTTCCTTTGGATTGGGTATGCTGAGGAAAGATGGGATCATAAATTATTCCTAATAACGAGATTCATTGTAACGGGATTTTACTGTACTGCATTTCCGTTTCAGAACCAGACAAATTAAATAAGCCGTCAGAAGCTTAGTTGAAACGTGAGTTCGCAACCTCATCTAATGCCGTATTCCCCAGCAGGCGAACACGATTGAATCCTCCAGCATTCTAGAATTCAGGAATCTTCATAAAGTATTATTTCAAAAACACATAAGTCTGAAAATAATTAGACCTTCAGTCCTGACATTTGAGCGATGAATGTTACAAAAAATTCGGTATATTTTCCGAAGTCCACTGGATTTTTTACAATGACATTTCTACGATAAAAGTTTTATTACTAGAGGCGTTGCGAATTTTTTTTCAGGATTTTTTCTGCTGAAAAACGTTCCTGATTTTATGTAAAAAACGCATGCAATAATTTTCCAAGAAGATTTTGCATCACGGTACAGGTGGACTTCTACAACGAAGTTCAAAGAACCAGAAAATTCGTCGTAGAGTTTTCGCTATAGAAAACCCCTATAATATGGGGAGAGAGAAAAATAATTGGACGAACATATAAAATGGCAATATATAGATCATTGTTGATTTGTTGCGGACAAGATCATTGTAGAGAGTGTCCACCTGTATTGTACACATTTATACTGCAAAGCACAAATTCATGTTTCCAATTTTCAGGATTCCTTCAGTACGCCTGCTTTTTTCTCTAATGTGTACAAGTACATTTGTACAAGAATATTCCCGTATACGATCGTTATTGCCGAGTGAGTTAATCAGTACCCATATGGGTTGGCCTGTCGTCCCTTTCATTTTCGTCAACTCAAGGAGTAAAATACTGTGCTGCAGAATTTATAGATTATATTCAGAATGAACGATAGCTGCATTTCCGAAAATTTCGACTACTTTATGGTCTGTTAAAATTTTACTTCCGCTCGAGTTGAGAGAAACAGTCCCAAAACGTTTTTCAATCACTGTTCGCACGATGACATGATCACCACAAAACGCACCCTTCCAACGAATTTCACAATAAGAAAATACAGTGAGACCCCAAGATGTGGACCTAATTGGTGCATCAAGAGTGTCACTAAGTCAAAATGTCCTTAAGTTGAGTCTCATTTTCCCTTAGACTTACATTATATAATTTTAATTGATGTTTTATGTACAAAATACTCACCATAGTTCAATTAAAATAAAAATTGTCTCCCAATTTAAACTGATTAAAATCAATATATTTCAACACAATATGGGCATTTGGAGAATTGAAAAATGATACCTGTGTACAGTAGATAAAACTGTTTGCATTCTCTGTAAAAATTATATTCAAGTGAAAAAGAGAGAAGAAAGTCTCTCTCTGCTGGAGGTAATTTTTTTTAATTAGCTAAATGGATGGTAAATTGTCAAGAGAAATGCCCAATAACTTTTCTTATATCAATTTTAAGGTTGGAAATATCTGTTGTTTGTAGTTTGGCCAGAAATATATTTGCAATTTTACAACAAAATGTCCCCATGTTGAGTCAGTGTCCTCATGTGGGGCCTTTTTTAATGATAAAATAAGTGTCCCCGTGTCTAATTGTCCGCATGCTGGGGTTTCACTGTACACTGAGTTTAAAAAGAATCATGCAATAGGAATTACGCAATAGGCGGTAAAGTCATGCTTAGCTTCGAAGATTTCTTTTTCTCGTTAAACGTCCCTTCTGCGACGTTGCAGAAAAGAAACATGAGAAGACTTTATTAATACCCCTCGCGCTTTTTCCAAGAACGACTCAGGGCAGCAATCCTCTAGTTTACCACAACCTAGCAAGGCTAACGTCTCGTCTATTTCGAGCAAGAACACTGAAGGGATTCCTGGTCCTGAAACACAATAAGCACAAGAAGCCATACAAGGCGAGGGGGAATACGGAGCAACAACTCACCTTCCGGAAAAACACGCCCTGGACTCTCCCGTAAACCTCGAATTCCACGCTTATCAATTCCGTCATACTTGGTCCGTTTTCACCACCGCCGGTCGTACTGAAAGCCTTTAATCCGAGAAACCCCAACGAACACAGACCCACGATCGATAAGCACGTCACCTTCAATTTCGACAAATCACTTCGCGTACGCGGGATAAAATCGTACGAGGGAACAATTTTCATAGCAGAAAAAAAAAACCCTGCCAACGCTGTGAAAGCCTCGCAATAAGGGTGACAATCGAAGCGTGAATAGAAACGCATCAAGCAACTGTGTTCAAATAATTTTTCG